TCTCTCAGTCTTGTGTGGTGTTAGATTTCTTGAGTCTTGGAATCACAAGCACAAGTCTTTTCACAACAAACACTAATGAAAAAGAAAACATAGATATTGTAATATAGTTGCTATTTAGTAGACATTAACACATACATACACAGTCACATTCATGTAAGAAAATACAAGGTTTTTTTTTTTTTACTTTCAAAACATACAAAACAGATATAAACTTGGCTTTTGCTTGTAATGCTCTAGTTACAGTTTCAAACTCATCTTCTTTAGAACGCTGAGTTTGGTGATTATATGTTACCTTAAGCTCCGGCATCAAAAGCATCTCCCCCGGTGAAGTTAATGGCAGCATCGAAGGAAGATTGTGATGGAGAAAACATGTTTGGATCCGATGATAGATTCTGACCTAAAAACATTACTCCTTCCTCGGCATTATCCTTGTCGATAAACCCTAGATCCGGAAGAATATCTCTATGATCGGAAAAGGAACGGTTGAGATTAGCGTTGAGAAGATTGACGGTTGTCATGTCATGTATGCTTGGCCGGCGTTTATCCTTGGCTCCGGAGAGCTGTCTCTGGTAATACTTTTGTGCGTGGCTCGCGACTTGCGTGGGAGTTTTCGACACTACAAAGTTTCTCGATATGTTTCTCCAATCTCCTTTCCCATACTTGAGAAGCCCTAACAAGAATCTCCTGAGGAGAACAAGAAACAGAGCAATTTAAACCCTAAGAAAAAAACAGGGGAATGACTTGCGTAATAAGAAACCTAGTAAAGAGTGACTTGTGTCGAAAGAAATCTATAGAGAGCACAAAGAGTCTCTTTAGAACCTGTGTTCTTCTTCTGTCCAAGGGACTCCTTTCTTCCTGTCTTGATCAGATCCTCTTGCTCCAACAGGCCGTTTACGACACGAGTCCGGATCAAACCCGAAAGGAGAAGAAGCTGAAGGGTAACCAGGAATGGGAACACGTCCTGCTTCGATATCGAAAACGTCTTCTTCTAACTTACTGTATTGCTTCATAACATCCAAAACAGTCTTTCCAGGGATCAAGGAAGCAACTTTGAACCAACGATCAGGAGAATCTTCAGCGTATATGGCAAGAGCTCGTTCGAACATCTTGTTCTCTTCTTTAGTCCAGATGCTACTAATCATCTCTTGAACATCGAACCGGTGGTTAGAGATAGGAACGTGAGACAGTGGTTGCAGAGTCTCCATAGCT